AGATTCTGGATCCATTTCAACAGAAAAATAACGATCATCCTCTGAATGAGAATGAGAGAGACTTCTACAAGGAAATGCTTCTAAAACAATGATTTTCTTTTCTTCAGGCTTCCAATAACCGCCTAAAAATCCAATAATCTCTACTTGCGTTAAATGTGAATGAAAGTCCATGATAATCAAGGCAATGTTATCTACTTGTAAATGAAATGGTTGTGAACCTTCCCTTTCAGGAGATACATCAGAGGGATATTCTCTTGTTTCTACAAAACATAATTCAGTCGAAGAATCAACAGCTCCTTGAAGAATGGACGTATAATTTCCAGTTTTGGGTCTTATCCTTCTCAATCGTGAACGAGTATATTCCGTTTTACCTTCTTCATCGTAGTCCATCACAGAAGAGGAAACGCCTTCTTCACAAACTTGTAAAACACTTTTAGTTTTCTTTGCTTTCTTAGGATGGTTTGCAACTTGATCATTCTCTTCACAAGTTCTTGCTGGTTCCTCAATTGGAGACATTTCCAAGTCCATCAACATCTGTGCTTCAACCTCATCCACTTCATTGGAAGATGGCTCTTGAATATTGAATATTTGATTCTCTTTTTCAACTGCTTTCGATTGACTTGAGGAAGTCCTCTTACTGGCTAATTCCTTTCTATACTCCTTTCCAAAAATATAACATCGCGCAGCAGCCGAATTAGGATCAAGTGGTTTGCCCGATAAAGTATGACCTTGTCCACTTTCTGCAACTTTCGGTGGAACAGGTAAGCCTTGTTTATAGAGTCGAATAAAATATTTCTGAGCGTGACTTCGGAAGTTGTTAGCATCTCTGGTGCCCATATACTCTGCACACTTTTGCCAATCTCTTCCAAATAAATTCAGTGCTTCTAGAAAACGCTTTTCTTCTTCTTCCGTCCACTTAGAAGGAGCCTTTCTCTTTTTCTCTTCATCGCGTTGTCCTCCAGTTTCGACAATGGACTGCTCTCTAGCAAAAACTGACTTTTTCTTCTTCTCAGCAGTATTCATACCGTTTGTTTTATTGCGGTTCTTTGATGACTTATATTTTCCAGGTACGAAGTCTTCGTCTTCGTCGTCCGAACTACTTTTGCGACCTTTCCGACTCATTCCTCGACTATCATAAAGCTTGTCACTATCTACAAAACTACCATAATTGGCAGCTTCTTCCTCTGCTAATATTTTTGCTAGCACTGCATCCGATTCCACGGTCTCAGTCATAAGGAAGATGAACTTACTATCACTCGTATTGTCTTTGCAGTGGATAGAAATCGAATCCACTCAATGGGATTTCAAAATTCCCTCTCTCTCTCGTGAAGAAAATCTTTTATGGGTCTCTTCTAGTTGCCAATATCTGATGGTTTCGTTCTTTATTGTGAAAATAGCCTCCATTTATTACTATGTTTCTCTTTCTTTCTATTACACACACACACACACACTCTCTCTCTCTCTCTCTCTCTGTGTGTGTGTGTGTGTGTGTGTTATGTATATATATTCTACAAACGCAATGGAATAAATTGCAAACCGACTAAAAGACCTGGTTTAGTTCCCATCACAAAGTGGATAAAACAACGTTTCGTCCTCACAAGTGAACTTGTAGCTTTCAAAATGATTGGTATACTGGTTTCGTGACTTTGCAGTAACGTGAAAAACTCAAAAAAAAACAACGCAGCGAGTGAGATTCGAACTCACGCGGGAAAATCCCACTAACTTAGCAGGCTAGCGCCTTAACCACTCGGCCATCGCTGCCATTAACAGATTGGTGAATTACAAGTTACTTGTTCTTGCACAAATGTGTTTTCCTTGAGGAGCATAAGCAAATAGCTGTTGAAACAAAAACCAAATGTGGGTTTTTTATTCAAAGCCTTACCATTTATTTCCTAGTGAGTTATTTTGGCGACTTGAACATCATCAACTGTTTGTTGGGTTATCAACAAGTATTTCGTAACTTGGGCAAAGAGGAAAGCATATGGGAGGCTTCTCTTTAAGACTTTTACAAGAGTCACCTTCCAGCTATTGGTTACTTCATCGAGAAGAACCACGCGTTCCTTGTCCCTTGTTTCGAAACTCGTTAAAGTTTCGTCACGTAATGTTTTATGGACAGAAGAAGAAAACTTTGGACTTGGTGAATCGTCCGTTAGGTGTTATCAACGGAATTCTTCTAGGTTACGTAAGTCAAAGTTTCATCTCATCCTTATCTGACTGAGCGTTTTGAGTTAGAGCATCGGTAACTTTCACGACGTTTTTTCCAAGGCTTGGTGTCCATTGAACGAACCCCACTGTCGACGCTTTGCTATGGATTTGAAGAATGGAGAGTTTTTGGAGGTTTGCAGCTATCTTTGTGTTGTGAAGTTTTATATCTTTGTTTAGGTTCACTGGTATAACGAAAACATATGTCTTCTATCGTGGCGCCAAGCAATGCGCTCGGTGCACCAATATTTTGTGTTGTACGAGACACCACCACCTTCCAAGTTACCGTTTAAACTAAAAGGTAGTGTGGAATTGGTGTTACAAGTGGAACCGAAACGAAAATACAGTTTATCAGTCAACGCTGAAGAAGAAACTTGTGACGAGTTTGAAGACGAGACGCCATTTGCTTTTCCTGGTATGAAAGAAGCGTTACGTCGTGTAGTAGGAGTATTTGAAGGTACGGGAAGAAGAGCCAGCTATAATCCTTTCAATCTTTCCGTAACGGACGATTTTACCTTTCCGTACAAACAAGTCAGCTATATTTTACAAGACCATTCGTCGATTGCGGAAGATGAAGAGGCTCGACTGTTTTCATCATTCGGGGTAGTGGAACCTCCTTTGTTTTCTATTTCGTTGCCAGTGGTGACGACCACTTTGGAAGGTGCTGTGATGCAAGAAATTCTTAGACAAGAAAGCTTCCATCTTCAAGCAAGCGACCCAAATATCAGCGATGAAGCATTTCAGAAAATTGCTACGAGAGAGAAGAGATGGAGTCGACGTCTTTGGAGGAATTTTCGACGACAATTGTGTGAGAGACGTTGTGGGATAGAAGAAGCCATAGTTCCGCTGATTGCGCATAGTGCAGCGATGCATCTCGGCTTTTCACTTTCTGCAAGTACTTTAAAACAACATCATGTACAGTTTGCTACTAGTGTGGACGATGAGGAGATTCGAGTTCTCATATCTTCGTTATTGAAGTTGGCAAATGGTCTTTGGATAGTTTCTTCATCAGGAGAAAATCTATTTATGGTTGATCCATCTCAGAAACAAAGTCATCAGTCGTCTCAAACATATCGTCCTACAAACGATAAGAGCAACACAGAAAGTGTGACCAGTCGAGGTGACAACTGGTCATCTTCAATAGCGGTATGGGTAAGTAAATGAAAGTGTTGTATGTGTTAAGCATATCATTATTGTGGTCAGAAAGAAGAGAATAGGGAAACTAGTTCCTTTATGAATGAAGAAGAACCTCGGCGTCCCCATTCACAACCTTTTGTAGGAACAAACAAGAATGAGCAAGAAGCGTTGATAGAAAAAGTGGAAAGGTTGGAAAGTCAGAATGCAATCTTGATACAACGAATTCAGCAACTGGAACGTGAAAGAGATCGTTATTTGGCATCTATAGGGAACAACCATGTCGACAAGTTAGAATCGGAAGGGAGGGAAGAAGATAGTTACTATTATAACGAGTTGAACCAAATTCTTCGGAATATTGATAATAGTGTATATAACGAGTGGGAAGTAGTAGAGAAGAGTCAGAGTGATTTTTTGTTGTAGAAAACGAAACGATATCTAAACCTAAAAGTCCTGAACTTGTGTGGTTCAAAGACAATACGTTTGTCTTACAACCCAACAACAATTTTCAAACAACATGTCACATTTATCGAAAACGACCGGAATCTACCAAAACAAGGAAACTTGTCTAATAGCGATAAGTATCTGGTTTGTAAGGTCCCTCTTGGCTTATTCCAATATATTCAGCTTGTTCTGGAGACAACTTGGTAAGCTTAGCTCCCAACTTCCCGAGATGCAATCTGGCAACCTTCTCGTCAAGTTTCTTTGGCAAAACATACACATTCTTTTGATATTTGCCAGTTTTACGATTGTTCCACAATTCCAATTGAGCCATTGCTTGGTTGGTGAAAGAGCAAGACATAACAAAACTGGGGTGTCCAGTTGCACAGCCCAGATTCAAAAGTCTACCTTCAGCCAACATAATAATGCCATGTCCATCGGGAAATACAAAGCGGTCAACTTGAGGCTTGATATTCACTTTCTTAATTCCCGGATACTTCTCTAAACCTGACATATCAATTTCATTATCAAAGTGTCCAATGTTGCCAACGATGGCATTGTTCTTCATCTTGGCCATTTGGTGTGCCATTATAATATCCTTATTTCCAGTGGTAGTAATAAAGATATCTGCGTCAGAAAGAACATCATCCAACAATACAACTTCGTAACCCTCCATGCAAGCTTGAAGAGCACAAATAGGGTCCACTTCGGTAATGACCGTTCTGGCTCCTGCAGCTTTCATGGCTTGAGCACATCCCTTTCCAACATCTCCATAACCACAAATGACAGCCTTCTTCCCGGCAATCATAACATCAGTAGCTCTCATAATACCGTCCGGAAGTGAATGGCGACAACCATAGATATTATCAAACTTGCTCTTGGTAACCGAGTCATTCACATTGATGGCTGGAAATAGTAAAGAACCTTCGCGAGCTCTTTCGATTAAACGATGCACTCCAGTGGTGGTTTCTTCAGAAACTCCTACTAACCTTTGAGCAATACGATGGAAACGCTGTGGATCCTTCTGGAGACTCTCGGCAATTATAGAAAGAACTGCTCGAAACTCTCGATTCTCAGTGGAAGAGGGATCAGGTAACGTCTTATTCTTCGCATATACCTCTTCTGCTTTAAAACCTTCGTGGATAAGAAGAGTAGCGTCACCACCATCGTCAACGATCAGATCGGGTCCTTCTCCATCTGGCCACTGTAAGGCACGATTAGTACACCACCAATATTCTTCAACAGTCTCTCCTTTCCAAGCAAAGACTGAAGCTGAACCCTGTGCAACAACTGCTGCAGCTGCATGGTCTTGAGTGGAGAAAATGTTACAAGAACACCACCTAATATCACCACCTAGTTCCTTCAGTGTTTCAATTAAAACGGCAGTCTGAATAGTCATATGTAATGAGCCCATTATGCGGGCACCCTGGAATGGCTTTGACGGTCCAAACTCTTCCCTTGTTGCCATTAGTCCAGGCATTTCTACCCTGCAAAACAAAGGTCAGCAACAGCTTGCCGGACTTTTCTCACTTACTCTGCCAGTTCAATTTCTTTGCGGCCCCAATCCGCAAGACTCATGTCTTTCACTCTGTACTCACTTTCTGGAATGGCAGCGACCGAACCGTTGGAAGCTTTGTTTTGTGTCTTGGACATATTTTTTCACGACAAGCACACAATTCAAAAAGAAAATGTTTACAATGATACAAAGTGAATGGACGTCGGGCCCCTTAAAAATGTCGATAAGAGCAAACCCACCAATCATATAAAAGAAAGTGGACATCCCATCAGATTCCATTGTTGAAATAGATAATTTTTTCGAGGATAAGAAGGAGCTGGTGTGGCCGAGTGGTCTAAGGCGGTAGACTCAAGATCTACTGACGAAAGTCGCGTGGGTTCGAATACCGATCGAAAAAGGTTCGAAATTCCCACCGCCAGCACAGTTCTTCATTTTTTTGAGATGAAAATATCTTTATTGCTTTTGAATACAACTATACTTGATAAAAGAAAGAAACAAATAGGTACTTGTTGAATTTACCATAAACCGTTTTTATAAACTCAAAGACATGCACAATCAACGTTTTTCTTCTTCTACTGTGCAGAAGGCAGAGAATAGGCACGTCGATAATGCCTCTCTGCCATTTGTGGAGAACTGCTCACAGTATATCCTCTGTTATCATGAAGGTTGAGATCCTCTCCATAATAATAATATTTTCTCGGATTGTATATCCATCCTTCTTCGTGTGGACCAGCATAGACGCTCCAAGATGGCTTTGGCGTAAATAGAGACCTGGTTGATTTCTTAAGTCTACTTGATGATGATTCACTTGGCGAATTCACTACATGAGGATATTCCTGCCTATGTAAGAAGCGATTGGGATATCGCATGGAAGAAATCCCATAACCACTACGTTGAGAGGTCGAACTGGATCTTTCAGAAGGAGCTGATGGAGGAATATAAGAAGATGGCAACTGAGTCTGTGATATGTTTGACAGTCGACCATTGCTATAGAAACTTCCAGAAACACTTCTTCGATGAGCCTTTCCTCTTTCAACATAGGACGCAGGTGTAGATGTATCTCCATAATAATAATAATTGTTATGCTTAGGATGTGTCTCTTGAATAGAAGCAGAATAATGTCGATTATTAGCTTCTGCTTCACTACCTATCATATGTTGTACAGTGGAAGTTCTCCTTTTAGATATTCCTGAAGAAGAGTGTACGCTAGTTGGTCCAAATTGTGCTTCAGGTATGGGAATAGGTGCCAAATCCATTCCAGGATAACTATCCAATACTTTCTTTCGACTCGAACAACCACGACTTACACAAGTGCTGTGGCTATTCTTTCCTAGAAATGCCTTTCTAAGATAACGCTCCATTTCTCCAGCGATATTGGAAGGAATCCTGTTAATTTCGGGTACACTTACTTGAGCATTTATCATCCTTGCCGACTCAAAAAACTTTCTCAGTTTCCTCAACTGGAAAATACGATACTATGAGCATTTCGATTCCTTTCAACTGCATTACTTACCAATTTCAAAAAGTGTCCATATACAGTTAAGGCTTCTCTTGCTTGCTCATACGGCAAAAAGAAATAGCTCTCTACAAGGTTTTCCATTGCATCACAAATCACATTCCAAAGACGATAACTATCTGATAAAATAAGTGAAAATCCTGCCAATGCAATAGGACATCTCTTCATATTTCCTTGTATTTCACAAGAAACTAGACATTCTAGATTCTCCAATAACCAAGGGAGTTCTTCTAGAAGCTGTTCGATGGAACATTCTCTATAGCGATGGGGTCCATATAGAAACTTTGTCTTTTTCATATGTTCGTGAATGGCATGGGACGGTCTTTCATTATGATTCTCAAATGCATTAGCATCAGTCCATTCTACTTGTGGAATATCGGTATACACGGGACCTTCTGGGAAATGAATATTTGCTTTCGTCCTACACCAAGATTCCAAATAACGTCCATAGCAACGAATAAAAGGTACGTGATTCCAACCACCATGAGAAGAGTCTCTGAAGCCTTGAAGGTTAAATATGGCACTGGAAGACCTTGACACCTCACTTGCAAAGCTGTCACTGCCTTCTCTAAATATTCTATGAAATACGACAAGAGATTTCAGAACCACTATCCATTCTTCACTTAAGAGTCGTTTGCCTAGTTGTCTATAGATAGAACCGCACGGTGCCTCACGGTTCTCAATACTTCCACCCCAATGACTGCCTTGTACTAGTTGAAATACATGTTTTTCCTTTGGTGGGATTCTTTCGTGGCTTGTAGCTTTGATAACTAGAATTTTCCAGTGATCGCGTTTTGCAGAGGCCACTGCTTGTTGATAAGCGTCAGAGATATAACCATGAAAGCTTGAAGCTCTTCCTCTGGTGGTTGACAAGTGATAGCCGATAGTTGATGAGGGTTCAACTTTATCCCCTAGTGGAACATTACAAAAGGGAAGTTGGGATCTCCTAGGACCAATAGTGTCCAGCTTTGAATCCAACCACTCAGACTCTCTTCTGTCCAAGTGGTCGAACGACTTTCTTTTTACTCCGATATCAGCAAACAGTCTTTGTTTCTGCATACCCCCCATATAAGACACGTTGTCCTGTAACTTTAAGTTTTCCATCGCAACAGTTTGTAGCTTTCAGTAACTTTTGTATATCCGATAGCTGGGTGCTGCGAGTTGCTCTTTGTTCCTTTTGGAATACTGGCAATGAGTACACAGGAAACAAGGGAAGACCATGAAAAATATCACGATGACTACTTACCCTACAAAAGGCATATATAACAAGCACCGGCCTTGTTTGTTTTCGTTTCACCTGGAGGAACAAGGATGATAGGGTGATGGGAGGTTCCCTTTTGGAAGAGTCCCAGTCAATTCCCAGTTACCGCCTTGGGTCCTTTCTACGGACGTTGGATTTATCCATCATGGGGGTGCCTATCCAGGAGCGGGAGTTGTGGTTGTGTTTGAAATGCATCGGGAAATAAAATTTCTGTGAAGAGAGAAAGACTCTTGTCAGGTATGGGGAATACAACTTTATATATGGATAGCATATACTAAATGAAATACTTGAATCATCCTTATGAAACATACATTTAATCACTTTGATTTTTTTCCTATGCGTTTTCGCCATGTGTTGGTTGCCACACTTTCCATTACAACAGGAACAGCTCTGGCTACTACTGTTGCTGTTCAAAGACTGGACTCCGACCTGAATAAACGAGTACAACCATTCCAACCTCATACCGTTCAATACTTACAAAAGTTACCCTTGAAAACTATCACTGCTTGTTGGGCTTGGTTGGGAAGTCGAAATCTTCCAACTCCACTGCGAGAACCAACCTATCGATGTTATTGTAATATATTTGGTTGTAACGCTGAAGAGGCAAGGTAAGTAAATCGTTTTTGAGAACGCTTCTCAACAAGTATTTTCAGTGAACCGCTTTCCAACTATCACAACTTGCACCAGTTCTTTGCAAGATCCTTGAGACCTGGAGCAAGAGTCTTTCAAGAACACGCTGTTTTGAATGCGCCTAGTGATGGCACGGTTGTCAACTGTGGAAGAGTTGTCGACGATCAAATAGAACAAGTGAGTGGGACAGTGTAAACTTATGTGCCTCCTTTCACGTAAATATTTGTTGTTAGGTAAAAGGTATGCCTTGGAAACTGACCCATTTGATACCTTGCGGAAATGGGAGTCCTTATCAAAACTATGGAGACGATACCAAAAGCCTATTCTTTCTGATAACCTATTTGGCACCAGGAGACTATCACAACTTCCACTCACCTTGCGATTGGCATATTCAACAGTGTCGTCACCATACAGGATCATTATTACCTGTTGCACCGGTAACTATTGACTATACCTATCTGGTTAGCGCAACGGAATAAGAGTAGGAAACTAGGCTGTTATGAAAAGAGTGGTTGGTTTGTTGTCACTTAATGAAAGTGTTACTTTATCAGGAGAGTGGAAGTATGGAACTATGATAATGACTGCAGTCGGTGCTCTCAACGTTGGTGGTATTTACTTGAAACTTTCAACGACTAGGGTGATGGACGATACAAGTCAATCGATAAGCGTGAGTAGCGAATTTCTTCCGTTAACTCC